TACATCATATGCTTATATTTAATTGTGGTTTATCAAAATAAATTAAATTTTATACTTGCCACAGTGAGACGTTTAGATGACTTCACGTCCTAAGACTTACGATGTTTGTACCAGATAATTTTCAAATKAAAGATTCAAATTAAAAAAAAAAAAAAGAAAATGAAGAGAACACATAGGCAGAGGAAGGGAAAAAGAAATATTAATCTATAAGATTAGATAATATGGATAATATTTTAAGTTTCCGCGAAGAAGAGACTATGAACCACGATGTCACAATTCATCCTGTAAGACGGTGCCCTGAAGTCGACATCTTCATCTCTAGACGATAGTGTCACTTGACTTACAGACAACGACTGTAGGTAGAACYCGGAGGGCGGCGATGTACTCACACGTAGACGGATCAAGTCGTCCTGTTCCTAGTGGGCGTCAATTATTTTGCAGATTTTCACCGAAAGCGCCTCGGTAAAGTTYGTGTTATTACGCCCGCGCGRAAAGCTACCCGCTTCACTACCCACACAAGCCTCGCCGTGATCCGAAACTACTCTCATACAATCATTGTCAGCAAGAGACAAAAAACCACAACGCATATTCAATTTAATTATAAAAAAATAAAAATAAAAAACATTAGCCGATAATGGTTTATGAACAYATTTAAATGAATGGATAGGCCAACTTCACTGGCATTCAAATATTAAAAGATAAAAACCATTAACCTGAGGAAAAAAAAATGTAAAATTCAAAACAAAAATATTTATTTCCAAATTAAATAAACTGATACGTGTGTAAATAATCACGATTGATTTTAAAATACTAACAAAGTTTTTTAATCAATCGGTCAAGATGGAGAGGTTGTGGGAAGTTTTTCCGCTGTATTTTTCAAATTAATTATACGGTTGGTGGGTCAATTTCATGTATAAAGCATAATATTTAGTAAATAGCTCTATTGCAACGGTTGCATAATTGTATAGTAATTAATAAAATATTTCAGTACCTATTGTAATAATTTATTTTTATTTTTAACAAGTTTTATTTTTACCTATAATTTTCATAACTCACCTTCACAATTTCATAATATTAAGGAAAGCAATCACTAACTTAGTGATGGTTTTCTTTGGTTAGAATATTGATATTATATTATCATCATTAATATTTGAATTAAATAAATTTCAATGTTTCACGTTTTTGTGAAATATTCGCCATTTGATCATCACATTCCGGAAAAAAAAAGTTTGGAGCCACCCTGCAGTTTTTAACTGATGTATATAATGTATTAGCATCACTCATCCCAAACTCAGTCACAAACACATTCACACGACACCCGACTCACCGAGATATTGCTATGTCTGCTTTTTGCAATGCGATTTTCGATGCTCTATGTGCCGCATTCACGGAGGCCTCGATACGTTCCTTGAGCTTGGCGGATCTCATCAGGAAATAGTGTTTTTTCTTTTGAGAAGTCACCAACACGTTGTTTTTGTACTTTCCCTCCTCCTTCGTGCCGTCCTTGAACGTGGTCACTCCGTAACCATATTTCTTATTGGCGAACCATTCACCTTCATACTTTAGCCCATCTGTCCTCTCAGCTATCCCGTATCCGGATCTCTTGTCGTTCTTCCACTCGCCCACGTACGTTTCTGTCGTGTTCACGTCCATGTGCTCATCCTAAAGTGAAATAATCAAAACAAAATTTTTTTTAAAATAACGCCAACATCTTAGACTACCCACCCAACACATATTAATATATTATCCCTTCCCAGCTCCACCTTCCCAACACTTTCTGTCGGTTTCACCCACACCGAAGTGATTACAACCCCGCAAAAACGGGGGCGAAAGCGCACAGTACCTCAACGATGAAACTGGCGTTAGAGTCTGTATTGTAGGACTCTCCCATCGCGGACTGAGACGATCCAGTGCTGATCCATGACGTACATGATGCTGTGCTCCTGATGCTCCCCGACACTTTCTTCTCCAGCTCGCCAGTGCTTCTCTGTTTTCGCATTTTGAAACCCTTGATAAAATCGACAATTGAGTTGTATCAGTTGATTTCATGTTAAAAATTGTAATTCATTTCACAAAGCCCCGYCATCGGGTTGCCCTTTAGAGATTAGATCTGTAAGTGAATTGAAAAGAGGGATACGTAAAATGGATGGGAAATTTGTCTAGAGTTAATAATGTTAACATGAGCTCTGTGCTTTGTTTGGAATAATTTGAACCTATGACTTTAAGCGCAATCACTGGGAAACATTTGCCTCATCGATTATATCTCTATTACCTACACCTATCACGTGGAACGATATTCGCATCKTTCGGTTGAGGATAAGTGTAAACGTATCTTATTTTATACAGTTGCCTATCTATATCTTATAAAATTATTGGTAGTTTGGATGTCGGCTATGTATATTTGTGTACGCTAGCGGYTGCCAATATAACGTCCAAGACAGCATAGATATGTTTTCAACCAAATATTTTACACCGGCRAATACATTCTGATATAACTAACATCAATAATTTGTAAATGTTTGTTTTGTACCGATGATTGACGATATACGTCTGGAAATGTCCACCAATAAACACAATCAACAATCGRKTATATATAGTTTACGACAGGTAAACTATAATCGATTATTTCGGATAATTTTCAAAACACAAATAGAATTAAATAAATATTAATTCATATTGGGTATATAGATGAGTAGGTACTGTTCCTATTGATTTACTTATAAAAAATGTTAAAAAGAGAAGTTGTCGGTGGTTGTAATGTTTCAAAGTACTTACATCATACGGTTCTGATCCACTCTGTTCCAAACAAAATCTATAATAATAATCACTATGTAATGGTGGYCATATAGAACCATGTAGATTTAAAGRATCTGGACTCAACTATACAAATGATATACAGATTGATTCAAATTATGTAAAATCTGAAAACGATTTTTTTCTAACTGCAGTTAGWACGAAARCGTTTCCATATATAGAATAAAAATAATTCAGAGTGGGCCTAACTATCAAGAATATTCAAGCTTTTATTTGATATCTATTTCTTAAATATAAGAATCTATAATTATTTTCAAGCACTAAACCATTTTTATTTATGAAGTAAGTATAAAGAGTTTTCCCAATGAGATTAAGTTTTTCTCAGTATGAAGATAAAAATGTGATGAGATATGATAAGAATGAATTTTCAATCAATGTCAATAGGCGACGACATGAAAATGATGATTTTAGGATTCAAATATGTATAAAATGTACAATAGTCTTAACCTAAAATATTTTACTTAAACACTGTATGGTAAAGTATTTGGGTAAAGTTATTCGAATACTTTTAAGTACTCAAATACTTATATTTAATTCTTATAAAAAATGCTTGGACAGAGTAATTTAAATGCGTTTGAAAAGTATTTGTATTTAGAATCAAATATTTGTTCATTTTCTATTTTGATTTTATTCATGTAATATAAAAATCAAAAATCAAGCGTATATTATGAAAAATTATATCTTAATTACTATGAATTATACACTCAACCAAAAATTATAATACTGCAACTTAAAAAACAGCTAAGTTTTTAGTTAGGTATCTACATCAAAATATGCTCTACCTATAAAATTTACATGAAACTGGGAATTTAGCTCAGTTGATTTATAAAGGAAAACAAATATATTTTKWWWAAACTTTTGAAGGATCTATAGAAAATTTTGCTACAGTATTTATTTTGTACTTAATTTTTTTTTAACAGCGTAATTAAATACCTATTTTAAACATTATTTAATTAGTATCAGTATCTATATGCACTTAAATACTTTTAAAAGAAGTATAATGGACTCAATAGTCTTATACAACAATATRCCACAAAAGGATTTTGGTCAAATGTATTTAATAATCATATAAAACTGTTTATAGGAGGAGGATTTAAAGTGATTTAATTATTATGACAAGCATCCGGATAAATTAAATGTTTTTTTTTTTTTTTTTAAGATAGGATGATGCCAAAAAATAAATTTAATCTAAGACTTTGAGACACAATCAACAAGTCGACGTATAGCAATATAAATAGAAAACACAAATCAAGTTTTGTTCGTTATGCACTTATGCGCGTGTAATGGATCTAAATTTAAATATTTTAAAATAGGTTCTCACTGCAAGTAATATGTTCAACTGCAATAGCTTTAACTCTAATACAATCAAATTCAAGAAGTCAGCTGTAAGTATTACGTAGAATYGTACGAAAAAATATTGTTTGCTTCACCCACTATAATTATATGGCATTGATGATACTATAGAACCAATTAATATATACTCGTATTAGGTACAGTTCATGCGATCGTCAAGATTAAACGATGTGGAAATAACTTTATGATAAAATGTAATAATATTACCGTTTACTAACGATGGCTTGACAACCGTTGGATATAATATTGTTACGTAGAGTAAAATATGYAGGTAATCTAAATATTTTAATTTGGCCGTCCGATGAACGATAAAGGGATAAAATTGGTATTGACGTGTGTATTGAAATAACATGGTGAAAATATTGATAGGTTAGGTTCTCGTATACATATATACATACATTTTTTTTTATCACATGGAAAAGCTTAGAAATAATAATATTTTTTATTAAAGTGAATTTGTTATGACGGGGGAATAAAACGTAGTTGGCCGCATGGAGACGATTGAACTGCCCAGTAAACACTACTTCGTTCAAAACGACTCATGTCAGTGAAAATAAATAATTAATAAGTTACTCAAATTCGATGGAACTTTGATTCAAATTGAACAGCGTTCGGAAAACGAGTTAAATCGGGAATCACCTATTTCCGCCAAAATTTGAAATGACCGATACTTGCTATCACCCGTTTCCGTGAATTTAAAAAAGGTTCCCGTTTCCACCAATATAATTGGTATGGAATAATTATTATAATATATTCGATATTTTTGGTAAAAAAGGAAGATCTTCATAGTTCATAAATCCTAAGTGTTTTGGTTCATTTTTGATCGTAAAAATGTTTTAATAAATTTGAGTTCACTGAAACTACGTACACATATGATATGCGATAGTACATAAGGCAATGTTAGATACCAACGAGTGATTTGCGATAGTTGTAAATATTAATCTATGATAGTGTAAATTTTAAGCGTATACATACATACATATAATGTATATTAGGTATTTTATACATATTGTGTAATATAATATATATATAACTTAAATATGGAATCATCGTATATAAATCGATACGATTGAATAAACAATTTGTACTCCATCATAAACCTGAAAACCTCCTGTAACTATTTATGAATAAGTGACTTTTACTTTATTATTATTAGTTATAAATTTATTTTCCAATATTTAATGTTATATCATACAAACCATGTACAATTATTTCAAGTTAAAACTTAAGTATACCTTAAAAATAATTGGAATAACACTTAAATTAATACAGAATATTAATATATAATAAATAATACCATAGCACTATAGAAGTTGGATTGGCGGAAACGGGAAGCGAACCTTTTTTAAATTGGCGGAAATGGGAGATGGTCGAATGAGTCATTTCAAATTTTGGCGGAAACGGTACATTCCTGTTAAATCTAATCGTCGATATACTCCTACAGAATTTTATAAAAACGAAGAATTTTCACAGTTAAAAATGTGCATAATTTATATTATTTTATTAATTTATTGKATTAAAATTTAAAATGAGAACAAATATTTTACACTAATAAAATAATTTAAATCGACAACACCATTATTATAATTTTAGTTGGTAATTATAGTAGGTAATGTTAGTTTGACAAAGTTGGTTGTGATAGGTAAATATAGCTATTATAATAGGCACTACATGTGCGTCAAAGCCGCTAGAATAATAGATTTGTTTTCTAGTTATAACATATCATGTTTTACTCTCTTCCACATAACTACAACGTATTTTTTTAAATCTATTCTACAGTCAAACAAAAAATCTTTATTTCATCTCATAGAGTACGGGTTTATGCATATAAAATAAATAATTGCAATTCAATAGAAATTTCAACTTGAATTTTGTAACTGTGTTCCACGAACAAGTTAAATTCAATCACTGATTCAACCGACACAATTTTACAAAAAACGAAGAGTTTTTTCACGGTCAAAAGTACCCAGAATTTATCGCATCAAAAAACCTTAATATCTTAAATAATGTTCCAATATCTAATGTATTTTTTAATCAGACATATTATATCCATTTTATATTAAACATTATATTATTATTATTGCACTGTTTTGACAGAATAGGTCTGTTAAATCATATTGAAAAATGTTCAGTACAGTAAACAACTATTTTAAACGAATTTTGAATATTAAACGAAGATTTAATTAAACAAAATTGAATTTCACAACACATATTATGTATTTTCATTATATTTTTTAGATTCAAATTTTGTTATGAGAAAAAATTATAGCAGCAACACACCCAATCTAAATCAACATGACCACTATTTAAACAATTTTATGATGAACTACATATAATTATATATATATATAACTATTTTAATATACCTTTGTTGTGAGTATATTAACAATTATTGATAATAATAATAAGCTGGTTACAAATAGAGCTAAGATATCAATAACCTAAATAACACACAAAGATGCCCTAAAAATACCAAAAATAATATTTTTATTAGAGATATCGTTTTAATGATTTGTGTCAGAGCAATTTAAAATATGAATTGCATACCTAATAGATAATAGTAAACATTTAAATTTTAAACTTAATTTACAGAAAAATAAATTTATGAAATTATAGAAAATAGATTAATGTAAAGTATAAATTTATAAAAAGGATACGTTAAGTAAGCTTTATTGTACATTAATCTTGACGATTAATCGTCGTCGTAATTTATTTGTTACCTATATTTTAATTCAGTGATTACTGATTAGTCACTACATACGAAAAACGGTTCGATGACGTTAAGTCATCTTAGCATGCTCATAGAAATAATCTAATTTGATAGTTAACAAAACAAAATCA